TATATCCACCTGGAAAGTGGAAACAGACAAGATCGACTGAACAAATTGGGAATGGAGTATGGAGGAGGGGGAAAAGGGAGGATTTTAGGGGAAGAAGTGCAGAGAAGGGGAGGGGTGAGGAGAACTTGAGGGAATGGGATAGTGGAGAAAAAGGATGGACAGAGATGAGAGCAAGGAAAGAGATACCTTGATTGAGGGAGCCATTATAGGGCTAGCAAGAAACTTGGCTCTAGAGAAATTCCCAGGAATCCACAAGGATGACCCCAGCTAAGACCCTAAGCAATAGAGGAGATGGGGCCCAAACTGGCCTTGTCCTGTAGTCAGACTGATAAATATCTCAAATATCACCATAGAACCTTCATCCAGCAACTGATTGAAACAGAGGCAGAGATCTGCAGTGGAGCACTGGACTGAGTTCCCAAAGACCAGTCAAAGAGTAGGAGGAATGAGAATATGAGTAAGGAGGTTAAGACCATGATGGGTTCACCCACTGCAACAGTTTACCTGAGCTAATGGGAGCGCACCAACCCCAGCCGGACTGGGAAGGAACAAGCATAGGACTAAACTAGTCCCTCTGAATGTGGTTGACAGTTGCATGGCTGAGGCAGACTGGGGAGCCACTCGCAGTGGTACCAGGATTTATTCCTACTGCATACACTGGCTTTTTGGGAACCTATTCTCTTCAGATGATACCTTGCTCAGCCTAGATATAGTAGGAGGGTCCTGGGACCTTCCCCAAAGCAATGAGCCTTGCACTCTCTTAGGATTGGATGGGTATTGGGTAGGAGGGTATGTGGAGGGAATGGGAGGAGGGAAGGGATGGGAACTTGGATTGGTGTGTATAAGGAAAAAAAATAGTTTGTTTTCTTTTTTAAAAAAAATAAAAACCTGGGAGATGTGTGGGAGGAGGGGGAGGGAAATGGAAACGGGGAGGAGGCGGTAATTTTTAAAAAAATAATAAATAAAAAAATAAAAACCTAAACCTTTCAAAAGAAAATGATTGCAGCTGCGTATTCAGCTCAGTGATATAATAGGACACTTGCCTGGAATACATGAGGCTTTAGGTCCAATCCCTAGTTCTACAATAAATAAACAAACAAATAAACAAATAACTATTGTGGCTGTCTTGATGGCAAGAGTGTTTAATTGGCAGATGTCAAACCCATCCAGCACAGCCTCAGTGGCAGTAGACAGGAACAGACCCCAACAACTGTCAGGTGGGGTGAGCTCGTGGAGAGTTGTAAACACTACTCCAGCAGCCCCTGAAGATCCTGCAGCAGCTCCAACTTCAGCACCACCACGTTAGGGAGTACTAGTTTAAGGAGTGTTGCTTTTGTTTGTGAGCCATTTGCTTAACTCTGTGAAGCTGTGATTATTTCCCTGTCTAAAACACTTGATGGTTTAATAAAGAGCTGAATGGCCAATGGCAAGACAGGAACAAGGATAGGTGGGGCTGGCAGGCAGAGAGTATAAATAGAAGGAAAAAATGAGGACCAAGGAGAAAAAGACACCGGGGGCCAGCCACCCATCCAGCCACCCATCCAGCCACAGAGTAAGAGTGAAAGTAAGATACACAGAAGTAAAAAAAAAAAAAAAAAAAAAAAAAAAAAAGAAAAAAAACCAGAGGCAAAAGGGAGAAAAAAAAAAAAAAAAAAAAAAAAAAAAAAAAAAAAAAAAAAAAAAAAAAAAAAAAAAAAAAAAAAAAAAAAAAAAAAAAAAAAAAAAAAAAGGAAAAAGCCCAGAGGCAACAGGCAGTCAGAATAAATTTTAAAAATCTGACAAGAAACAAGCCAAGCTTGGCATTCATAACTAAAAAATAAGCCCCCTTGTGTGATTTAATTGGGAGATGGATCATGGGCCCCCCCAAAAGCCAAAAGAGCAAAAATATTGTACTACATCACCATTGCCAGACAGAGTGGGGCAGCCTACTTAGGTTGGCCTTTAGACGACCCCACCCAGGAACATCCTATCCCTCCCTGCTCGGGAGGAGCACCTTTCCGAGCCACAGGGTCCCTGGAGCAGCCCTGACACAGCAGAGTCTCCCAGGCTAAAGCTGCAGCTGTCTGTGGTGACAGAGGGACAATTTCTAGGCTGTAATGAAGTCTTCTCTGTGCATCTGAACCTCAGCAGAAGTTCCCACGGACTACCCAAGACCGGATGGGAGGTTTCTGAACATCTGTGAGGTAGGCTGTCAGGACAGATGTGTACTGACAGGACAGGACAGGACAACGGGAAGTGAGAGCAGTTTGAGTGGCATCTGCCTTACCTTTTCATTCCACGAGGTCCCATCTGTCGGTAATGTATTTCCTGAGCAATTGAAGCGCTCAAAGAGCATAGCCCTGTGCCTACATCACTGCACGATTTCCCTTTCCTCTTCCAGGCCTCTTGCATTTTTGTTTGTTGTTTGGGCTTTTTAAATTATTATTATTTCTTTTTGTTTTGTTTGTCCATCTTGTTATTTTGAGGCAGGGTCTTTCATTGTTCTGGAAATTACCACTTAGGCTAAGCTAAGTGGCCCGGGAGTTCCAGGGGCCCTCCTGCCCTCCCTCCACCTCCCAGGCACAGGGATTGTAACAACTCACTACCACATCCGGTTTTTTCACATGGGTTCTCATGCTTCTGTGGTAAGCACTATTTCCACTGAGCTAACTCCCATCCTCAAGAAAAAAAATTTAATTAAAAAGTTTTCTAGTTCATGCTGACACATGCTGGCTGAGTCAGTGTGAGATTAGACCAAGGAGAGTAAGAAAAGTCCTAGAGGTGAGGTCAGAGAAAGCCAAGCAAGGTAGGTCCTGCTCTGGATGAGAATTTCAAGGCGTATCCACCGCCCAGGTCCAGCTTCCTAGCACCCCACGGACGGATCCGAAGAGGTAGGACTTTCCAGCCAGTGTGAGGCCTGACCTTAAGCCCTCCACACCGCGACCGAGCGAGCGGAGGACCGCCGGAGTCCCAGACTTCCTGCACCCCAATCTTACCCGCAACCAACCGAGTGATGTAGCTAACAGTCTGGGGTACGAGTCAGGACATTGCGCATGCTCCAGGACTAGTCACTGGACTACGACTCCCGGGAAGCACTGCGACTGGATAGATCACGTAGCCAATAAACAATTAAAAATGTTACAGGGACCCAATCACGTAGGGGAAAGGCGGACCTTCCCAAGGTTGCTCTCTCAGCCAGTGGGTGTCTCCGTGGCCCGGCTCCGGCCCCGCCCCCAGCCCGTGTTCTTGGGGTCCTGGTCTCCAGGCTCCGAACGGGTGGGTCGCCCGCTGGGGGGCGAAGGGTTCTGAGCTGGCTCAGCTCGCCGCAGGTGGCTACTGGAGCTGACACCCAGGACCGCGGTGGATCTGCGCGCCCCCTTGCTGCAGCATCGCCTGGCTGAGCTGCGGAGCTGCACTCGCTACCCTTGGCGGGCTGTGGCCTCGCCTAGCTCTGCGCTTTTGCTCTCAGAGGTACTGGAGGTCGGAGTCTGCAGGATGCTGAAGAGTTGGTGCGAGCTGTGCGCATGACAGCTTGAACTTTCTTGGGGATTCCTCTACCAGCCCGTTAGATCGTGTCATGCATGTCACCAGATAACAAAATTAAATATTCCCTCCAGTGCCCTTTTGGAATATTTTGACTTCTCTCCTTAAAAACTGACGAAAAGACCAACTCCTCCCACTGTCAGGAACTATCTTGTCTTCAGAGTCTGGGATAAGGGCTTGCAAATGAGAAAGCTATCTATGTCTCTGCGGTCCTTCCACCCCTAACGCTCCCAGAGGAGCTTCGTTCCTACCGTTTTTCTAGCCTTCAGAGAGATTTCTCCAGAGCAATGACCCAGAAGACTTGATTAGAGTGACGTTGTTTCCTGGGCCCCCAAAATGGCAGCTAAAATGGAGATAACTTTGAGTACCTACACTGAGGATTCTGACAGGCAAGAGAGACACATCATAATGAAGCTGGAGGAGAAACGTGGGCCCGCTCAGCAAAAAGCTGGCCCCGATCCTGAGCTTTCCCGCCAGAGCTTCAGACACTTTTGTTATCAGGAGGTGTCTGGACCCCAGGAAGCGCTCTCCCGCCTTCGACAGCTCTGCAGACAGTGGCTGCAGCCTGACCTACACACTAAAGAGCAGATTTTGGAGCTCCTAGTGATGGAGCAGTTTCTGGTCATCCTTCCTCCAGAGATCCAGGCGCAGGTCAGGCATCGATATCCAATGAGCAGCAAGGAGATCGTGACGCTGGTGGAAGATTTGCACAGAGCATCCAAAAAACCAAAGCAGTGGGTAAGGAGGGTCCTTTTCTGTGTGTCCCAGGATTCCTCTGTCTTTGGGGGTAGTGTTTTGTCTCATGATCCCAGCTAGTTAGAGATTCCAGAGGAATGGGTGGCTTCAAAGTCGCACCCAGCCTCCAGGAACTCCCGTACCCCCTGAAAACGTTGTAACAGGGTTTCAGTAAACCCAGCCACTGGCACCCAGTGAGGAGGTAGAAGACTAAGATATTCCTTCATAGGCTTCATGACCTTAGGAGAGGAGTTTTAAGGTTCTGGAATCTCTACTGTCACATCTTCCCTGACCCATTCTTGGTGAAGTTTTGTTACAATCAGAATTCTTGTCTGACAGGTCTAGGCTGTTCAATAGGGAACTAATTTGGGGTGAAGCTCCGTGGACTTTGTTCCAGTGAAGGGTCTACCATATTGCCTTTGAATGGGGAGGTCTCAGCTCAGTTCCCTGGTGTTGCTGCCCGACCCCATCCCCATCCCCAAAGCCAGCCCCCCAAAGCTGGAGCCACTGAAGGAAGGAAGTCAGACGTGCTTTGGAAAATGGCACTGTGAGGGAACAGGCGAGTTCGTCTTCTTAGATCTGAGTACCTTGGACCTCTTTACCAGAAAAACCTACCAGGTTGGAATGTTTTCCAGTGGCCCCTTATGGTATTGTTTTCTGTTCCCAGGAGTCTGTCTCTAGCAGAAGTAGAGAGGGTTGGGATATGGGGCGGGAACGGTGGTGGTGATGGCACTGTCGTCACTGAGTCTGACATTTTCACCAACTCTCTTTGGAGGAGCTTGGCTGTGAAGCAGCCCCTTTTCCTTTCATGTATCTCCTTTGAAGGTCTTGGTGGTATCCGTAAAATTTGAACTCCAGGTTGTAAAGGGATCACTCTGTAGCAGTGAGCGGCAGGCTGCCCCCAGTCCATCAAGGAATGGAGAATTAATGGCTAGCCCTTTTCCTAGGTGGCTGTTTGTCTGCAAGGGCAGAAGGTGCTCCTGGAGAGAACAGCAGCTCAGCCTGGAGAACAAGAACTTCCAGACTTTGGGCCCCAAACTCATAGCAGAGATATTCAAGAGAACTCCCTGGAAGAACCTTCCTGGGAAGGGTCTCATGCCCAGCTGAGTCCCCATCATTGGGAGAAATATCCCTTCTACCAGGAACCAGTTCTCAAACTGACCGAGACAGGTAAACACTCTATACTTGGGCCCACTCATCAGCTGTTTCCATCATAGCATCTCATGGTTCTGCAAATGTGTGCTGCATGTGACCACCTTTTAAAAGTTTACTGTGTGTGTGTGTGTGTGTGTGTGTGTGTGAGGGGGGGAGTGTCTTCCACAGTGCACATGTGGAGGTCAAAGGATAACTCTGTGGAGTTATTTCTTACCTTCTACCCTTATTTGGGTTGTGGAGATCAAACTCTGGTCTCTGGGCTTGAGAAACAAGTGCCTTTATTTACCAAGTCATTTTTCTGGCCAGTGCACACCTTTTAAAATTTTAGAGACAGGATCTCACTATGCAGCCCAGCCTGGTCTGGGACTCAGTATGTAGACGAGGTTAGCCTTGACTCACAAATATCCATATGCCTCTGCTTCCCAAATGCTGGGATTAAAGGCCTGCATGGCTGTGCCCAGCCTGTTTGGTTTTTTTGCTTGTTTGTTTTTGGAGAACTACTGGATTCATCTGCAAAGTGGCTGCACCATTAGAGGCTCCTATCAACAAAGTGTGAGGGTGCTCTCCACATCCTGGCTAGCACTTATTCCCAGATGCTTTTATTATTATGATGTAATAGCCCCTGAGATTTCGATTGTCATTTCCTTAATGAGTTATGATGTTTAAGCATTATTTCATATGTTTATTAAATTATATATCTTGGCCAATAGATGGCTTGGTAGGTAAAAGCACTTGCTACCAGCCTTGACAACCTGAGTTCAATCCCTGGGGTATACATGATAGAGGGAGAGATATTTCTGTAAGCTGTCCTCTGACCCCTACACATGCTTTGTCGTACAAACAACCATCCCCTAACACACACAATAAACATAATTAGACGTTTTTAAAAGGAAATTGCATATCTTGTCTTTTATCGGTTATCAGGTATCTTGTAACCTAGGCTGGCTTCAAAGCCACTACTTAACTGAAGCTGAACTTGAACTCCGGATTCTGTGGTATCCACCTCCTAAATCCTGTGAAGACAGGCCTTTGCCGTCACTCCCAGCTTATGGGAAAATTGTAGCCCTATACATGACCCATTTTTCATGTGGGCTACTGTCTTTTTATTGTTGAGCTTAAGTGTTAAAATAACTGTTCTGGATCCTAGACCTCGCAGTCAATAATTCATGAATGTTTTCCTCCTCGTTCTGTGAATTAGCCTTTCAGTTTCTGATGGTGTTCCATGAAGCACAAATGCTTTTGAAAGATGCTATGAATGTTTATATATTTTGTGTGCATCTGTGCACATGTGGAAGACAGAAGAAACTTGGGGACTCACATCTCTCCTTCCACTGTGTGGATCCCAGGGCTCACACTCGGGTCATCAGGCTTGGCCACAGCTGCCTTCACCCACCGAGCCATCTCACCAGCCCAAATGTTTTTCATGTTGATAGTCTCTAATCTTTTTCTTTGCTTGGGCTTTTGGTGTCATGGTAAAATACCATTGGCAATCAAATGATTCAGATTTGCAGGTATGCTCTCTCTAAAGAGTTAAGTTTAGCTCTTGTATGTTTATATCTTTGGTTCATTCTGAGTTAGTTTTTTGTATGTGACGTTTCGTATGTGTTATTAAGGTTACTATAACAAAGTCCTTTAGGCTGGGCAATAAATAATAAATTTATTGCTAACACTTTTAAAAATTAAGTCCAAGGTCAGCGGGGGGTTGACTTAGTGGATAAGAGTGTTCACTGAGTTCCAATCCACAGAACCTCCCCCCATGAAAAATCAGGCCTAGATGTCTGCTCCTGTAATGCCAGTGCTTTGGGGGTGGGAGGAGACAGGAGGATTTAGCCCCAGAGTCAGTGAGACCCTGTCTCAAGAGAATAAGGCAGAGAGTTATAGAACAAGACGCTTGACATCTTCTGCTTTCTTCACGTGTGCTTTACATAGACACACACACACACACACACCTGCACCACACTCACACTCTAACACACACAGACACCTGCACCACACTCACACTCTAACACACACACACCTGCACCACACTCACACTCTAACACACACA